AAAAATAACAGTGTCCTGTGACCACTGATGAAGGACTAGAGGATGACCAACACAAACTGTGCAGCAGCAGATGAGCTATTGTCTCTGACTTTACATCTACAAGGTGGACCGACAAGGTAGGAGTGTCTAATAGAGTGGACAGTGAGTGGACAGTGTTTAAAAACTCCAGCAGCACTGCTGTGTCTGATCCACTCGTACCAGCGCAACACACACCAACACACCACCACCACGTCAGTGTTACTGCAGTGCTGAGAATAATCCACCACCCAAATAGTACCTGCTCTGTGAGGGTCCATGGGGGTCCTGACCACTGAAGAACAGGGTAAAAGGGGGCTAACAAAGTATCAGAGAAACAGATGGACTACAGTCTGTAACTGTAGAACTACAAAGCGCACCTATATAGTAAGTGGAGCTGATAAAATGGACAATGAGCGTAGAAACAAGGAGGTGGTCATAATGTTATGCCTGACCAGTGTATCATATCATAATGTTCCATTTTGGTTGTGGGAATGTTGATTTGGAACGTTCTCAGAATGTTCAAAATGTCCAATGTTAGAACGTTATCCAGAACATTAGCTCTACTTCTTTGAAATGACAATTTAACTTTCTACAACATTTTAAACAATTTTCCACCACTTTAACGTTTAACGCAATTAGCTGGCTTTTTCAAGCCAACTTCCGTTCGTTCGTTTACGAACTTTCCCTTTCTAGTTTTGTTTGTTCTTGTAGCTGAATGTGTTTGGGGATACTTGGATTGTGAGAGTTTAGTCTTAAAAGTCTTAAAGTTCAGTCTTAGAAGCTGGTTTAGCACTAAAGGGTCTACAGCAAGTCTCCGGAAACGAATGGAAGCTGTAATACGGGTAAAAAAGTCGATACATTAAATACTAAATTCAAAATTTACTGTATTACTGATCATTTTCCATTTTGTAATTAATGGCTGTTTTAACTGGAAATTAAATGACTGACTTTTGCACAGTACTGTAGCTCCATCACTTAGATGCACAATTACAGACTGTAGTCCACCTGTTTCTGCACAATTTATCAAACCACCCCTCCACCAAATTCGTCATCGGTCAGTTTCTGTAACGGTTGAGGTGAGGAGGCGGGATGCAAATGCGAGTTGCTTTTATTCAAATTAAAGTTAGAGTCCAGAAACTGAGTAGAAGTTTGAAAAACAGTCCATGACGAAAACAAAGTCAAACTACAAGATGTACAAAACCAAGAGCCAAGGAAACACCAACAGAGCAACATCCACAATGCAAGACAAAGACTGAACAAACACAGGGGTATAAATACACAGAGGGGAAATGAGACACACCTGGGACTAATGAGGGGCGGAGCTACAGGCAGGTGGAACAGATAACAAGGGGCAGGACCAGGGAGGAGACACAGAACAACAACAAAAAGCACATGTCACAAGAAAAAGACACATGGCTACCATAGAGGGGGCGAAAGACACACTGAGAGGGACAAAGGGAGAATCCGTGACAGTTTCTGACCACAGGATTGCTGATACGGTTTGAGTGGTGGTCCATACTCAGCATACTGCTAGATTGAGAGTGGCCCACGCAGAAATATCCAGCAAGACCATATTTATATTGTTGTAATATACCTGACACATACCTGACTGACCGACGGATACAAGAGGATAAAAAGCAACAGAGAGGATTTATGTGACGTTAATTATGATATTTAATGCTGGAGTGACCAGCAGCCCAGTGATTGGCACTGAAGGGACGTTTGCTGGCCACCGGCATCAGAATATACACCAACAAATTCAGAGTGTCAGTGGATTCTGGGTAAACTGATGATTTAAAGTCTGCTTATCGTTTACGCCTCCTCTATGCCGGAGCCTTCCTTTCTCTGGGTATAATTACATTATGGGCTCATATAAAAAGAAGTAAACGCTGCTCTCTGAGTCTAATGATTGATCCATCATCGAGGACGTTGGCACATCTCATTCTGCTGCATTTAGGCACATAGAATTATAAACGGTTGGTTCAAATAACATACAGCTGCTAATCTAGAGCTGTTATATTTCAGCCTCAATGGAACCACAGGCCCAGTCAAAAGTTTGGAACCACCTGATTATGTTTTTCATAATGTTTATAGATATAAAGCATATATACAGCTATTTATAGATATGACTACATGACTGGGCAAAACAAGCTTTATCAGAATGTGATTATTGCTTTTATTGTGTGAATAAATATAAAAGCCTGTGATTTATACATTTACAATTTTCATCTAGTGAGAGCAACAGCAGCTGCACGTTCCAACCAAAGACTATATAAATCATGTATATCATATATGGACTGGACCATTCTACCAAGTTAGGTCTAACTGTACACATTGTGATATGTTAGTGTGTGTTGTGCTGGTACGAGTGGATCAGACACAGCAGTGCTGCTGGAGTTTTTAAACACCTCAGTGTCGCTGCTGGACTGAGAATAGTCCACCAACCAAAAATATCCAGCCAACAGCGTCCTGTGGGCAGCGTCCTGTGACCACTGATGAAGGACTAGAGGATGACCAACACAAACTGTGCAGCAGCAGATGAGCTATCGTCTCTGACTTTACATCTACAAGGTGGACTGACAAGGTAGGAGTGTCTAATAGAGTGGACAGTGAGTGGACACAGTGTTTAAAAACTCCAGCAGCACTGCTGTGTCTGATCCACTCGTACCAGCACAACACACACTAATACACCACCACCACGTCAGTGTTACTGCAGTGCTGAGAATGATCCACCACCCAAATAGTACCTGCTCTGTGAGGGTCCATGGGGGTCCTGACCATTGAAAAACAGGGTAACAAAGTATGCAGAGAAACAGATGGACTACAGTCTGTAACTGTAGAACTACACAGTGCTCCTATATGGTCAGTGGAGCTGATAAAATGGACAATGAGCGTAGATACAGGGAGGTGGACTGAAATGGCCGGTCAGTGTATATGGTTACATGTAATAATTCTATATTACTGCCTTGTCAAAACTTCATGATGAATGCAATGACAGAAGTTGTCCAAAATGACTTAATAAGACTAGAATGAGAATTTTTCCCATTAACCTCAATTTATAGACAAGGATATGAGTTTTTGTTGAGACGTAGAGTTTAATGACTTTCTAAAATGCAGAAATAGTAAAACAAGGAAAAAACTCTTCAGTAAGTAGATGTTTCTAAACTTTTGACTGCTACTGTACCTCACTGTCCTTCTGTAAAACGTCCACAAGAACGTAATCTACTCATTTCTTTCTCATGATGTTTAATTACAGCTCTACATTGTTATAAACAGCGTTATATAAATCACTGCTCTTCGTGGGTGTAGATCACCCAAAAGAAGTCAAGTGTCCAACTTCAACAGCTTTGTGTGCTCATAATTTGACAAAGTACAGCCCTGTAATTTGACTACTTACCCTTGACTCATCCTTTTTCCTCCACTCTCGCAATTGGACCCACAGTCCTTCAACAAGCTGACATGTTGCTATTACCATTGTTATTTTCTCTTTCTAATCCAGCGCAGAAACTTTCATTAAAGGTCATCGTCAATCGTTAAAAGATCATTAAACATCCATTTGCGAGACGTTAAATGAGAGTCTCTGACGTTTGTTCGTTGTCGTCTGTCCTGATGTCCCTTGAAATGGAGCCAAAGTTCTTCACAAAGTTTCTAAATATGCTGCATGTATTGTGCATTATGGTGCCCACGGGTGCACTGACCAGATGGCAGAGGGTGATTACACTGGCTCAGATAATCACACAAAAAACCGGCCTAGTATTCCTACGTCTAGCATGTGATTTAGTGGAACCTTGAGCTATGGAGCAACAAACAACTGACAATAATAACTAATCATTTTGGAGGTGTTAAAGGAGGCATAACAACAAACTACATAGTGGGTTTAACTACAGAACAGTCCAAATGTAGGTAGTCAAATCACTTTGTACAGCGCTACAGTTGTCATTTCACACCATACACCAATCAGCCATAACATTCTGACCACCTCCTTGTTTCTACGCTCATTGTCCATTTTATCAGCTCCACTTACTATATAGGTGCACTTTGTAGTTCTACAGTTACAGACTGTAGTCCATCTGTTTCTCTGATACTTTGTTAGCCCCCTTTTACCCTGTTCTTCAGTGGCCAGGACCCCCATGGACCCTCACAGAGCAGGTACTATTTGGGTGGTGGATCATTCTCAGCACTGCAGTAACACTGACGTGGTGGTGGTGTATTAGTGTGTGTTGTGCTGGTACGAGTGGATCAGACACAGCAGTGCTGCTGGAGTTTTTAAACACCTCAGTGTCGCTGCTGGACTGAGAATAGTCCACCAACCAAAAATATCCAGCCAACAGCGTCCTGTGGGCAGCGTCCTGTGACCACTGATGAAGGACTAGAGGATGACCAACACAAACTGTGCAGCAGCAGATGAGCTATCGTCTCTGACTTTACATCTACAAGGTGGACTGACAAGGTAGGAGTGTCTAATAGAGTGGACAGTGAGTGGACACAGTGTTTAAAAACTCCAGCAGCACTGCTGTGTCTGATCCACTCGTACCAGCACAACACACACTAATACACCACCACCACGTCAGTGTTACTGCAGTGCTGAGAATGATCCACCACCCAAATAGTACCTGCTCTGTGAGGGTCCATGGGGGTCCTGGCCACTGAAGAACAGGGTAAAAGGGGGCTAACAAAGTATCAGAGAAACAGATGGACTACAGTCTGTAACTGTAGAACTACAAAGTGCACCTATACAGTAAGTGGAGCTGATAAAATGGACAATGAGCGTAGAAACAAGGAGGTGGTCAGAATGTTATGGCTGATCTGTGTATTTCTTTTATTTATTTACTTATTTTTACCCAGTTCTCTGGCCAGTTTAGTCATGTCCAGTCCTACCTCTTAACTAGGTCTCCTCCAGTCACATAATGCTGCCAGGTTGGGAGGGCGAAGGTTCCTCCAAGACACGAGAAGCACCACCATCTTTTCAAACTGTAGCTAACGCAACGTCATTGGAGCTCAACACACCTCAAAGAGAACGCTAATTCTGTTCCAAACTCCAGTTGGGACAGTCGGAAAAATGTAAATAAATGCAGATAGTCGTGATCTGCAAATCCTTTTTGACCCAAATTCAACTGACAAGATCTTTAACGTTTCAACTAAAGAACTTCACTGTTTTTTGTCTTTCGCTGCTGTCAGAACAAAAATCTCCATTTTTGTTGTTTTTCAGTTTTTGACATAATCTGAAAATGCCTGTTTACATTGTGTGTAAATTTCACGATGAATGGACCAAAGGAAATGTCCCAGAATGACTTGGAAAAAAAGTCTGGACTGAACTGACCAACTGATTAAACAAGTGGAATCAGCTGAGCTCCTGCTTGTTTGGAATGAAAACCTGCAGCCTCACCAGCCACCTGTGGATAAGGCTGGACACCCCTGAATTAAGTGATGTTAATGTGGATGCGCAAACATCATCATAACAAATAATCAACAACTAACTCGTTCATGAAATTTAATCAAGATTCGTTGCCAGAGATCTTTTACACTGTGAGAAATAAAGGTTCTGTTCAGGTACATTTTTCCTTCATCAAGGTACAAACAGTGTAAATGTTCCCTCAAAGCTCCAACAGTGGTTTTAAGGTCTGATTGTGAACCTTAAATAAGTTTTTCCAGGTGAAAAGTTCGTATTTGTACCTTTTCATAACCGAATGTTTTAAACAGAACAGTAAAATAAAAGCCTGGAGACGAGACGGGGTGTGTGGAGTCAGTACAGCTTAGAACATATCATTTCAGTGGATTATGGTTCAGTTATGTTCCCTGACTAAAGGTACTGAGATGAGGGAACCATCCCAGTGACAAGTGACGGGTTTCATACCTTTATTTCTGAAAGTGTATATGTTATCAATAACGTTGATTAGGGGTGGATTTAGCGATTCCAGGGCTGTAAGGCAGAAATCGGGCCCTCTGAATGCAGTTTTTCATGAAGTGAAATTATCTCACTATATAAGTAGATAATTTTACTTGTTTTATGAAGAAATGCTTGAAACGAGCAAAAGTATCTGCCAATACAGTGAAATCATTTGGTAAAGAGTACAAGAAGTAACGAGTAGAAAGAAGTGGTAAGTAATGTGATCCCATTACAGTTTGAGAGAAGTACTTAGTAACTTGGATTACATTTTTTTAGTAACTGCTTCAACAGTGGATCTGTCTATACTATCATTAACACTAGCACTTTACAGGGTCTGCTGAGCCTGTACTGCACTCTGTTCTGTTAGCTTAGAGAGTGTAGCAACAAACTTTCTGCCTTCTTCCCTCATTTTTGTGTTTCTCTGCTACACTTGAACAACTTCATTTGATTTTTCCTCTCAGCTTGCAGAAAATCACACTGAAGAACCTCCTCTCCATAATGTAGATCAGGGGTTCTCAACCTCTTCCACCCTGAATCCCACCTGCTTATAACCAGAAAGCACAGCGGCCCACAAGAACACTAAGATTGAGTTTTTTTAAACCCGTTCTCTTTTTCTTTTATTGAGCGCTAACACTGAAAACCTGAGAAAGACCCTGAAAAGACCACATCGTCCATCCTGGTTCAATCACAGAGACCACAACTCCATAACATATTTAAAAAAAGCATTACATTTGCAGTGATGTTAAAGAAAGATAAAAAACAGAAAAAATAATAAAAATGTACGAGGTAGAGGTGGACTGTGCTCACATTAGGAGCTGTAGTCCATCATGTTTTCTTTGAAAATACTCCACTGGCTTTCCCACAAGTTTGGCCTCTTTAGCTTTCAGTGTTTTAGCACCTCATTTGAAAGAGTCACACCTCAATTTACACACCAGGCATCTGGATTTGCGTCGTCACAGTCAAAGCAATAATAATAATTCTTACCTGATATCTGCTTCTTTGTGATTCGTCTATCAATCTGAGTTTAACCAATCAGGTTGCTGATGCTTGGCCAAAACGATTGATTAGATGGGGTTTTTACAGTCCTGTGGCCTCCATGGATAACATTTTTTCCTTTTTATTGTCAGAGCATTTGATGTATTGATTGCTATTGGGATGTGAAGAGTATTTCAAGGAATATAAAGCATATACTCCACGTTTAACTGTCTGTGCAAAGTCAAAAGTTCAGTCTGGGACACATCTGATCAAGAATCATTATAAATAGATGCCACTCAAAGAACTCTGACCCCATTGTGGTCTACCAAAAGGACGATATTGGCTGACAGAGCTTCATATTAGCACATCGTGCATAGATTTGATTGCAGAATGTGACTGCGATTTGTAGACGGTCCCTAAGTTTTCAGTTTGAAAAGGCATTAATGTTAATGTTAACACACTTCAGCAAGTTTAATTTATAGATGATAGATATGGAAACCCAGAGTAAATGACTGACTCAGATATCTTTGGGAAAAACGCTGCAGCTCTCAAATTTCTGTGGATTGGCTGATTGAAAAATGTGAACTGCTGCTTGTGTGGAGGATTTTTCTTCAGGTTTCTCTGCAGTTGGCAGCCCCGCCCCCTTCTCAAAATGAGAAACTTTTCAAACAGCACAACATGTGACATATTTATCATTCTCAACAGTGAATTCTGCTGAAAGGTGGCGAGTTTGCATGTATGCTGTTGGAAGACAATCCTGCTCATAATCACCCGTATTTTTAATGTGTCTTTATTCTGATTACTAATTTACTTACTGTTCTTTGTCATTTTCTTCTTATTATTATTATTATTATTATTCTATGCTCAAAAAATAATGTTTCTCATGCAGGTGGCACTACGTTTAAGGTGGCACTGAATTTAAGGTATCAGTAAATTTAAGGTGGCAGTGGATTTAAGGTAGCAGTGGATTTAATAGCACAGCAACCACCAAGCTACACCTTACAAATGACTTTGGATACCATAGCAACCGCATAGCAACATCTATGCAATACTTTAGCAACCATCAACAGTCTTGCAAAATGTTTTAACGTAATTAAGTTGGCTTTTTCAAACCTGGACAAATATTTGGATCCATTTTTCACAGAACAGCTTCTTCTGAAACAGAAAAAAGTGGGCTCACCTTCCTCCGTGGGCACATAGACGTTCAGGTAGAGGCAGTCTTCGTTCTGGTCCTGCACGTAGGTGGCCACCGTGTCCAGGTTGGCCGTAAACCAGACGGGCAGCATGTCGCTAAGTAAGAGCCTGTCCTCCAGGTACTGCGGGCACACTGGGGCGAACTGGGTGGCGTTCCTGATGCCAGGCCAGGATGTGGGCGGCTCGGGAGCTTGGAACCTTCTCTCGCCAGTAGGGGGCATGGCATAAGGTACGCCCAGATACTGCTCCACCGGGCCCAGAATTTCACTGGGCAGCGATGCCCTAAACCCCCGAAGTTTCCCGTAGTTTGTCGTGACCGTGGTGTACTGGACTTGCTGGCAGATGACCACTGTAAATCCCAAAGATAAGACGAAGAGCCAAAGAGACTTGCCGAGGTTTGGTACAGTCAAGGCAGAGAGTACCCACAAGGGTTCCTTTGGTTCTTTCAGCCTGGACATGGCTCCACTCCACCTTCTAATCCTAATAAGAAAGAACCAATTCTCTTACTCCAGCCGCCTGACGGCCAGCTCGCCGACTGGACAGGTGCACTCGTTCCTCCCCATGTCAAGGCATTGGACGTCTGCCCTTGTGTGGACAGCAGGAGAAATTGCGTAGCCGCCCCTCCAGGCTCGCTCTGGCACAGTCACTTCCCTGACTCAATTTCAGTCAGAACAATCATCCTGTGGGAGACAGAGAGGAAGAGGCTAGAGACGAGGCAGTTTGAAAGAATTATTCGCAAACATGCTCCACTGGAGCAGAAACATGCTCGAGTCCTTGTTGAATGGGGTGAGGACCGCGGTGTAAATCCTGTTTTCCTGTTTTCTGCACTTCCACGTCAAATGTCTTTCTAGCAGGGCTGTTTATAGGCAGCTGTTTAGAGGCCTCATGCCACAGAAGTGTGTATTTGATTTTTTTTTTTTACATAATATTGGCAGAAAATCAAGAAAGCATAAATGGTGCCCACATAAATTAAACGTGCACTGTGTTTTTTCATTTATTATGTATTTATGGGTCAAAAACATGCATGTTTTGTGATCACTTGGATTATTTTATTACACATACATATATCACATTATATTCTACAGCACTTCCTTTATGCGAACACGTTTTATTGTGAAATTTTGTCTCTTAATTCCAATTTCCTCAAATGTCATGCAAGGACTTTTATTCTGACATTCTTTAAGAAACAGTGGGAAGGGTGTTGCATCATAGAGAAGCACCTAATTGGCCTTCATGGTGCAACACCAAGGTCAGCAGCCCTTTCAGAAATTTTTTACTCATTGTCCATTTTATCAGCTCCACTGACCGTATAGTTTCACTCTGTAGCTCTACAGTTACAGACTGTAGTCCATCTGTTTCTCTGATACTTTGTTACCCTGTTCTTCAGTGGTCAGGACCCCCATGGACCCTCACAGAGCAGGTAGTGTTTGGGTGGTGGATCATTCTCAGCACTGCAGTAACACTGACGTGGTGGTGGTGTGTTAGTGTGTGTTGTGCTGGTCTGAGTGGATCAGACACAGCAGTGCTGCTGGAGTTTTTAAACACCTCAGTGTCGCTGCCGGACTGAGAACCAGCCAACAGCGTCCTGTGGGCAGCGTCCTGTGACCACTGATGAAGGTCTAGAGGATGACCAACACAAACTGTGCAGCAGCAGATGAGCTATCGTCTCTGACTTTACATCTACAAGGTGGACCGACAAGGTAGGAGTGTCTAATAGAGTGGACGGTGAGTGGACACAGTAATGTGTAAATAAGTGTCTGACTCTGCTCTTCATTCTAGACATTATTTCTATTATAACTTCAGTCTGAATATTGATTAATTTAGAACTCCATTCTAGATGTTCTGTTATTACTTCACTCTAGATATCAACTTTAATGCAACTTCATTATGGACATTAATTTTATTAGAACATTGGTTTGGATATTAATTTCATTAGAACTTCACAGTTGACATTATTTCTGTTTCTGTTTTCTTTATTGCATTTAATTCCATTATAACTTCATTCTGATTATTAATTCTTTTAGAACTTCTTTTGGATATGAATTCAACTGTATGTTTTTTTTCGGGTTATTAATTCTATTCGAACTTCATTCTGGATATTATTCTATCAAAACATTGTTCTGGATTACAATTCTATTGGAACTTCATTTTGGATATGAACTCTATTAGAACTTCATTCTGGATATTAATTCTATTAGAACTTCGTTCTGGATATCAGTTCTATTAGAACTTTGTTCTGGACATTAATTCTATTAGAACTTCATTCTGGACATTAATTCTATTAGAACCTTGTTTTGAATATTAATTATACTAGAACTTCATGTTGGATGTTGATTATATTGTAATGTCATTTTAGATCTTATTTTTATTAGAATGACACTAGTGATATTAATTGTCAATTTTGTTCTGGATATTAATTCTTTTAGAACATCTTTATGGATATAAATTCAAATGAGTTTTTTTCTGAATATTTTTTCTCATAGAACTTTGTTCTGGATATTAACTCTACTAGTCCTTCATTTTGAACATTAACTGTATTAAAACCTCTTTCTGGGTATTAACTTTATTAGGACTTTGCTCTGGATGTTAATTATATTATAATTTTATTCTGGAAATCATTTTTTATTAAGGCTTCACTGCTGACATTAAGACTGTCAGAAGTCTGGATAATTACTTCATGATGCAAAATGTATGATTATTTAATTTTTTACAGCTTTCTTTTTACAGTTTCAAAGCCCTGACGTTGTGGACTTCTAGCTCATATCACAGTTATACATTTATACACACAGTCATTTTATACATTTGTCTGTAACTGGTTTTATGTTGTTAAGCACTGATTCCAGACCTCTGTACAGTAGCGTGGACGTGGATGGAGACAGAATGGCGAGGCAGGTAGCTACATTAAGATTGCTCTGTTTTTCCATCATTAAAATGAATTGAATTTAAAAGATTGGGGGTGGTTTTTGCTGGCAGACTGCGGCGCACTGTCTCTAATGAAAAAGGCCTGCCGTATAAATCAGACAGCCTTCTTCAGCCCTCGTCTATTAATGCTCCAGCCCATTAACACAGCTGTCAGTGGGCCCCCGCATCGCAGCGTGCTGTTAGCAAGATCCGCACCTATTGATTTATATAACCTTCCCTTCAGAGCTGCACCTCAGAGGTAGACGGAGGTGAATTAAAGCTGTGGAAAATGGCTAAAAACACAGCAAGCAGTCTCCTCAAATGTGTATATTATGGATGCTGGTTCTCAGTTAGCTTAAAACAGCCGTTAGCTTGCCCTCTCAGACAAGTCGCATATATTTCTCACGTGAAGTGTGCAGAAACCACGTGTGCTCGCAAGGAATCACACGTTTCATCACGTGAAAGTTTACCAGTATCTAGCAAAGTCTGACCACTTGTACCATTTCTTAATTTATTACAGCTTGCTGTTAAACTATTTGAAACCTCTGAAGTTGTGGACTCCTAGCTCCTGTGTTCACACTTCACGTGCGAAAAAATCTGATCATGTGATGACACGTTTTTTCACACGTGAAGTGTGCAAAAACCACAGGGTGGTAAAGCTTTGCTAGACAGTGGTAAAATGTCTATTAAAAGCTACGCTCTTAAAAAAGATGGTGCTTCAAGGGGTCTTTAGTAAAGAAATGGTTCTGTATAGAACTTTTGCATGATTAAACATTTCTTTGCATCATGAAATGGTTCTTCAGATTGATGGAGTTTGTGCTGTAGATGGTTCTATATAGAATCTTCTGGAAAATGGTTCTACATAGCACCGAAAAAAGGTTCTTGTAACAACAGAAGAACGCTTTTGGGTGTTATATAGAACCCTTTTCCAAAAGGCTGTATGCAGAACCATCTATAGCACATTCATGCACATTTTCCCTCAGTCTGAGGAACCCTTTCATGATGCAAAAACCCTTTATTCATGCACATGGTTCTATGAGTGTTTATGGTTCTATACAGAACCATTTTCTTTATTAAAGAACGCATGAAGCACCATCTTTTTTAAGAGTGTAGTTCAACCTAAATGGAGCACTGAATTAAAACCACAGTTATCCATTTTTACTGCTTACTCCAAAACTAGTCAATCAGCCAAGACATGTTTGGTGTCTGAATTTTGCTTCTTTAGTTTTACACTGTTGGTGGGCAATATGGCAAAATGTCACATCACGATACTTCAGGACATTTTCTACGATACACGATAAGTCGCTATATTTAGTTTTTCTGACATCTCATAAGTTAGAACAGACAAATTTGCCCATATTTTAAAAATACTGTCAAAAACAATTTAATTCAATTATTAGTATTCACCATTTTATACAAGGTGCTGCACCAAATCCAATTAAACAGGACTAATTATGCTCTCTTTGCAATCAAACATGCAGTTGCACTGTAAAAAATGGCTCATTAGATCAACCCAAAACAAATCACTTCATGTGGTAACAAGTAACCAGTTTTGTTCAACCTAAATTAATACTTTGAATGAATGAAGTAGAATAAAACTAGTTCAGTTGTTTGTTACTGCATGAACTAATTTTTAGGTAGATCTAATAAGCCATATTGTACAATGTGCTTAGTGTTTTTTAAGCTCTGACAATATCATGTGCATCATGATAATGATAAACATTGTCATATTGCTCAGCTCTATCATGGAACTGTGAGGCTAATGTAGCTAAGAAGTGAAGGAAGCTTATTTATACCAATTAGCATTGAGTTAACTGCGTACCTAAATCATGACATAGCTGGTTCACACTATGTGGAGGTGTTCAGTGTCTCTAACAGACCTGATTTATGTGGTTTCTGACTCTGTGTGACTCACTGTTACCTATAAACATGGACTAAGGTACAATAGCATGGCTAAAAACAGCAGCGCAGCCACCTTAAAGCCTGATCGTTGTGTATGGAAGGAAGAGCTGTGCAAAGCTGACTTCCTGCCAAACTTTAATATTTAAAAAGTGTCACCCCAAAGCCCATCTCAGTAGGATAATGTCCGTATCAACCTCCGCAGGTAATTTCATTTTCAAGGATAATCCATTTTTTCCCCTCGCCGGTCTTCGGAGGAGGAGTATCGAGTGGTCAGCAGGATTTCAGCCACCCGAACTCAAATCTGAAAAGCCTTTTTAATTAGTTTTCACCCTTAACAAACCCCAGCGCCGGCCGCTCTTGGTAAGCCGTTCACGCGTCTCCAACACGCTTCCTCAAACTGCTCTCCGCTGCAAATTCCCCTCTGGACTGACACAGTCAATGGTCAGCCGCGACCTCCGGGTGTCAATTACCCGCAAAACTCAATTTGTTCCAAAAAAACAAGCCTATGGGGCAGAAAGTGGCCTGTAAGCGAGCATATTGCCTCGGTAACAAATTGCACTTCTTTTTCTCCATGACCTGTGACTTCTCCGTGCAGAACGAACGCGAATAAATGGACTTTTTGTTTGAAAACTGTCACAGCAGGACTGGCAGAGATGTTATAAAGGAGGAGACGGGTCACTGGTTAAAATATGAATGGGAAAGCTTGTAATACTCAACACGGCGTCTGTTTACAGAGAAAGTCCCACCCATCAGCTTACTGGTTACGCCAAGAGTGGAGAAGGGTCAACAATGTTAGCTGCGTTCCAAAGTCTAGGCTGCATTTCTCGGCCGGTACATCATAGCAGGCTGTTCCAAAGTGAAGGACCCTTCGTATACACCCTAGAAATGCAGCCTACGATCTGAGTGACTTAGAGGATGTAATAGATGTTTCCTTCCAGGCCTTCAGTTACCCACAGTTCTCTGTGTACTAATGACATGAAGAAAAAAATCAGCACCCAGAAAATAACGGAAAACGAAGCCGTTGGAGCAGAGCTTGTTCTAAAACGTAAGTTGTTCACATCCTTGAT